TAGATTTCCTTTGATCTCAGGCTTAGCCTTAGGAAGCTATCCGCTTCCACAGGAATTGAGTCAGCAATTGATACCTTAATTCCTTTGAAGAAACAGACCTAGAAGCCAATTCATCTCTAACATTTCATGCTTGGTTTCTAAATACATCTCCATAATCTCCCTTTACCTACAAGCATTCTTCTCAGGCAGGTATCAACACTACATTTCAATGGAGAGAGTCACACAACAAACTAAAAGAATTCACTCTGGAATACTGAATCTCTTCTGCATAATGAGTTCTCAGCTACCACAGAGATTTCTCAAAATCAGCACTTTGAATTATTGCTTAACACACTTTTTCCATACTGGCAGTTTCACATGAACTAGATTTCAGGACCCTTTATGCACAGTCTGTTAAGCTTTAGGCTGGATGAATTTTGAATGTTAGACAATTTCTTTTTTAATGAGATATTCTATGTAACTGCTTTAGCTGTAAAATAACAGCCCAAACCCCTGAACAGCTTTCCTATGTATATGAGACTAGAGCAACCACAGCATTTTGCTGATTTGAAATGATCTAGTGAGAGAAATCATTTCCAGACAAAAATAATCTATGCTATTCTGCTCTATGTAGCTCAGCCTTTCTTTTTAATAAAATCTAATAATTAGCAGTGAAATACTCAATTTCCAGAAATTCTATTTTTCAGTGTTTTTGCCTAAAAACAACACTGATGATCAGGGTTAAGCTAAAAATTACCAACTTCAATATTTAATGGCAGACTAGCCAACGTTTACTACAAGAACCCATTAACTCACAGTAAAACAAAGTGATGCCATCACAGAGAAGCACTCAGATATGAAATGCATAAAAAACACAACTATTCCTGCAGCGTACCAGACAAACATCCCTAATTTTAAGTGACATTATATAGGTAAACAGCACATGTAAAGTAATTTTCCTTATGTTTCCTTATAAAACTATGTAAATGTACAGATACTTTTAAAGAGCACCAGTGTAATTAATTTATGCAGGGGAATGAGGAACAGCTCTGGTGCTGACAGTCACTTTTGTGTCTATTAACTATTCACAGAAAACTCAATAGCATTGAAAGAGCCTTTGAAGCAACAGTAAAGGCTTGACAAACCTTTTATCATATTAAATATAAAATGTGAAATTTCATGTTTACAGCTACCACTATTCATTAGTCAGACAGTGAGTTTTTCATGCTGAAAGCAGCAGCCACCCCAAGACATAAAATAGATATATTTTTTTCTTCTATAGTCCTAATGAAACAGGTACATGGATCCCACCTTCAGAAGAACTAAAATAAATTTACATCTTGTATTAAAACCAAAATTTTGTTTGAATTAAAGTAGAAATAATCTGAAATTACCAAGTTATGCTGTTATTAATGATTTAAAGTGTTTTTAACATAAGTACTGTATTGTAATTTCACTGAACAAGTTTCTTCAAAAAGCAGTTTCTCCAAGTTTACACCACAGCAATCTTCGGTTCCTCCTCCTTTTACTTTTATTCAAGCAAAATCCCGTGCAAAATAAATTTATCATGTATCCAAATCTTCCATGAACTTATGAACTGGGGATGATTTTAGAGACTTAATCCTTAGAAGCCAAGTTTAATGATGGAAGAAAATACACTATCATTTATAAACAATAGCAGGGATTTTAATTCCCTCTCACAGATAAGCAGCATTAAGTACCAGATGTTTCAGAAGACAAAGGCCTCATCCTGCTCCTATGGAATTTGTAGTTTCTGTGCAGGGGAAGCAAACAGCAGTGTTAATAGTCAAGAATAACACAAATCACTCAATTTCTCAAAATCCTTGGACTCATGAACAAGTAAAACTTAAAATCTGAAGGTGCTGAAAGTTTATTTTCTAGTAAAATTTAACCTGGCTGGGAGAAACTGCTTGTTGAACAAGTCCCAAAATGGTTCATGGAGATTTTTAGAGATTATAACTTCTGCAAGTGTCAACTAATATAATTTCATCTGGACTCTGACTAGAATTCTCATATTTGGCATTTTTTACATTGTTTGAATTCTCAACAAGTTCACCGCTTCATTTTGAATCCTAAGCTGCAGATAGTAAGAAACCAAAGAGCAAGCTGTAATTAAAAAAAACATGCAATATATATTTGGCTTGTACTTGTTGCTAGGCTACTAAAGCCCGGTTATGACTACAAGGCTGTTATAGATTTGTAGCTGCATTTCTGACACAGCAATGTAACATCAGTTATAGCAATAAAGACAATTAAAAGTCAGAAATTAGAGCTTCTTTCAGTAGGGGTGCAGTAACTTGGGTGCTTCAGCACCTTTCCAATTCACAGTATGCATTGAGTCAAACAGTTTTCACTGATGCTTTCAAGTTCTCTTGTTAAAATTTCAGAACTTCAGGAAACTTAAACACAATGAGTTCAACCACCACTGAACTGGAAAGGGACCATAAGAGTGACCATCTCCTGCAGCTGATAAAATCTTGTGGATTACAGAACAAGTAGGACAGGTTGGTCATCTGCCAAATCATAACTACACCTCTGATCCAGGGTACTCAAACTGCAAAGAACGTCAAATACTTCCAAGCAGAAAGTGTGTAACACCATACTAATGTTCCTCAGGTTTTCATGGTGATATCTGATAAGAGTCTCAGATTATTTCAGTGATCAAAGTTTTCCCAGGTACAGAAAAGCACAAGCACACACAAGCACACAAAGTTTAATTGTTAATATTCAACACATTCTGTAAAGAGTAATCTTCTTTTGGATACCCAAAAGGCTTCTTGTTCTTCAGTGTATTGTAAGCAAAATTGGTTGAGTCACTCCACTTCCCCAGGTACCAATTCTCAAATCTAATTTCTCGAGCCAATTTAATCTCCCAGAAACTGATCTTTGCTTTTACCAAAAACAAGAAGCAAAGGGAATACTACATCAGTTCGACAGCTATACTGCAACCCCCTCCAGTGAGCAATAAATATAGTTCATGCTGAGGCAGACAGATGTTGAGGTTGATAAAGGTAAACAGAACCATGTAAGAGTAATTAACAAAGAGGCCAGACAAGTCACCCGTGAATAACTTAACCCTTTAGTGAATCCAACATTGTTTTTAGCCCTGCTGAGGGCACAGGAGCCAAGCAGAAAGACTTCAGTTATCTCCCAAAGTACTGACATTTGTAACTGCTACCTCCATTTCTCATGTCTGTGGCTTGGAACATCATTGCTGCATCCCCACAGACTTTGACATTGCTTTGTCGATGTGCAGCTTTTCTAGAAATGGGAGCCCTCTTCTTCCCTTCCCCCAAATCCCAATGTTATTTTGATCACTGGAGTTAGGGAAGGAAGGGAAGAGATATTTCTCAATTATCTGGAGGAAACAGTTAGAAAAGCTCACAAAAGAAATGTAAACTGGAAGACAGGTCAGTAATTACGAAGATGGTTTATTTATACTGTCTGACCTTACCCTATGGTAAGGTAAAGTCAGCTTAGCCAGCCATACATTTTAATCATCCAAATGCCAGCACAAACAAAGCTAACAAAAACGTACAGGTCACTCACAAAACCAGGGATCTTCTCCATGCAAAGCAGGATGCAAGTTTTTGAGTTTATGGTACACAGCTATTGAATCAATGCTGCCAGTACAAGGGACTGAAGTCTCTAAATCTCAACTTACCCGAAAGCCAAAACCTCAGAACAAGTTACAAACGTTACAAACATTCCTAGATGAAGCTGCACGTGTTTTATTTAGCAAGTCAGACTGATCACAAAAGCTCTTTTTTTGGAGCTTTTTAGAATCTGTTTTAACTATGCAAACAATAGATCCAAGAAAACCATCTGATGAGCTCTGAAAATAAACATTTTCAGGAAAACATCGAGGCTTAACTCATCAGCATCTCCCATGGCACTAACTGTACTGATTATTCACGCCATTCACTCAAAATAAACCAACTAGCAATTTCATATGAAAATGCATTTTTAACTGCAGCAAGACTGCATGAAGGGATTTGTACATCACATGCTCAGAAGTTGAATCTAAAATGCCTTTTTCTCGTGTCAAACAAACAAAAACCCCCCATGTGTTTCATTCAAGATGCTACCCTGGGAATTTTTAAACAATGTTGTAAATAGTGCTCATTGAACATTATTATTTAGATGGCTGAGTGCTTCTGTTTGGCCACAGCTGAGCAAGTTGTAAAGCACACCTGCACAGGTAGGGCACAGGTAAGCCAAAGCAAACATATAATATACAAATATATAGACAATTACACAGTGCACACACATGGTTGGTTTACTCCCCACTCAGTCTGGCATTTCCATTCCATGTTGTGTAATGTTTTCCAATATATGATTGGCAAGTTTCTGTATTTGATAAAGGCAATAGCAGATACTCTTAATAATGTTAACAGTTTATTTGAAACCTAATGACAATACTCACCATGAAATTTAACACTGACTACCCCTATTCTAAACCACACCACTCCCCCCATCATCATCTAAGGCTATTGGTATCACAGTTTATTCATGTGTATTCACATGCTGTAAACTGCAGATTAATCACACAAAACAAGACTCTCTAGTGGTTAGAAATAAATACAGTAATTCACTGGAAAAAAACCAATTTATCTAACTGTTTAGATATTGTAAAGTACTGTAACCTGAAGCATATCTCCATAAATTAAAAAAAATGCTTCACTGCAATCCTTTATAGTCCAGTATTGTTTCTAGTTTCTAGGACACTTACCTTGTAGTAGAGAATTTTAGAATTAAATCAGGTTACATTTTTTACAGAGGGAAGCAATATTAGACAGAAGATGAATGCATGTAGAAATCCTTCCCACTTAAACATGATCACACAGTTCAATCTGTGCTAAAGCCACTAAGGAAAAAAACCAAAATCCTTTTTACCTTATGTACCTTTAGCTGGCAGACGCATCTTCCCCCTTTTCCTGGCTTCAATCAATGCAAAAATATATAGAAAGCTTCGACTCACAGAAATGAGAATTACTTACCAATTTGTAACAATACAGGTGTTACCAAAGCTGTCTCCATGGCATAACAAAATTCCCTGCCAAACATTACTGCACCATGCATCACCCACAGACGTATCGGTATCCGGTCTATGGATCCTTCACTAATGGTCTCCTCCCTACTTTCATTCTCCTTGTTTTCTGGTTTCTGAAGCTGTGCCACAGGTAGATCTTGAACTTGCATAGATTCCGAGTCAGCATTCTGAGGAGCCATTTTCATTACCATAAAAAATATATATATTTGTTATATCTATATAAATAATACTACCATAACTCCACGAACAAGTTAGGGTGTCTTCTCTTTCAGCTTCTGTTCCTCAGGCAAGTAATGCTTATATTCCTCTTGTACAAACAGGTATCTTGCAACTTCTTGTATAGATACGAGACATTAAGAATGAAAAGCTATTTGGTAAGAATTTCAACATATGGCTTGCTGGTTTACTGTGAGTTAGAGTTAAAAATCCATAATTGCCATTCAGTTAATACCAGTTTCATAATTATTATTGAAGAAGTGCTGAAGTTGTTATTCGTGCTACACAGAGGTGGAAAGGCGACACAAAGAGGTGCTCCACTGTTAATCCCCATCGAGTGGCTGATTAATCTGCAACAAAAAGCAAGCATTTAAAAATTTCAATAGGCTTTTTCAGGATATTGTGTCCCCCCCCTTAACTGTATAACCTATTTCCTGCTTCATGCTTTCCATTGTCCTTGCCTAGAGTAGGGTCCTTTATTCCACGTTCCCTCCTACCTCTGCACTTTCCATTGAAAAGCAGTTGTGCCTTGTATTTAAATGATGCTTTACTGTACTCCAGTTCCTCTGGTTTGTGGTCCTACACAAAGCCACAGAAGAATGCCAGGGTACTTGTCCAAGATCCTCAGAACACGGAGCACAAGACTAAAATTCTGGGAAATTTAAAGCAGGTTGCATTTCAGAAACAGCATAGGATATTCCAGTTCTATGCCAGGAAGATGATTCATCAATTACCATGGTCACACACATCTCCATTTAGATTTTTGGAAGTTGCAAGTTACTTTGCAGTAACTATCACACCATTTTATACTGAAGATATTTCTCAAGGAAGCATAAGCAAAATAAGCCATGATGAATATAACTAAGGATTGATATTTAAATATTTAAACTTTAATGAAGATATACACAGCATATGAATTCATCTTCTTTCTGCACACAAGACCAGACCGTCTTACTCCCACATCCTGTGAGGCTGCTCAAATTTGTGAAAGCAGAATGGTACAATATCTTCCACATTAAAATTATTAAAATATATTCTAACCAGGTAACACAAGCTTCTTCTGTACCTTCCCCTTCTTTGTGCCATGGACAAAATCTAAGCAGATGTACAAATACTGCACCATGCCAATCAAAATGTGTTTAAGCACTTAGGAGAAGAAAACAAAGCATCTTATAAAAAGTCAGGTTACATAAAGTTTGTATTAGTAGGATGCCTGTTTACATCTCTGCACACAGGGTGACTGAGCTGTGAGCCCAAGACAAAACCCCTCAGGGATATGGTTCCATGAAATGCTGGCTCTGGCAGCAAAGCTGGCCTCAGTAGAAGTCCCCATGCTGCAATTCCCTGTCTCTTCAGTTGCAGCCACAAAAACTCTTTGTGGGCTTGAGCACACACCAGATCATTAAGTGGTGTGCCTAAAACTGAGCCTTAGGAAACAGATGCTATGGTTGGTGTTTAAAGCACATCACAAGAGCAGCTCTGTTTCACTGGGACCTGAGACACTGTTCTACTACATAAGAACACCATCTTGAGCACTCCCTCCTGCTGACACCCTCCTGAGAATTGTTTATTTTACATATTTTATTCTTCTATTCAAAAGCATCTTTTTTGGTAGACATCTTTTCTTCTTCCAGGCTCCCCAAGATTACTGGAATGCTCACCATTGATCACCTCAACAACAAACTAACACTAAAATTTTATTTTGAGTTGGACAAATCTTTAAATTCCACAAGAAAGTTAAAATAACTTACTGAACTAGAGTATAAACCAAGTTTTAAGTTCAAGGTTTTATCTATAAGCATTAACTACTTGGAAAGCATTTCTCTACCCACTCAGAATTAACAGAAATTAAGATGTAAGTAGTTTATCATAAATGTAAAGTACTCTGTGTATTAAAAAAAATCACATCCACCTTATATAACACAAGTTCTGAGAGAGTAAAGCCTACAAAATACACGTTCTGGAGTAGGAGCAATTATTTTAATTACAGACTAGTCATAAAATGTTTAACTGCTGGCAGACTCAGGCACCACGACATTCAATAGAATTTGAAAGTATACACATTAGGCCTTAATTTCCAAAACTCAGCAGAACATCTATGTGGCATCACAGACTAAGTGTCATGGATTACTCTCCTGCACGATCTGGTTTAAAGTCTCTACTGTTTTCTCATGCCTGATTTCCCCTCCTGCGAAGGATTTAATTCCCTTTCCCTAAACACCTCCTTCCATAAGCAGTTCCTCAGGGTGAGACACTGAGGAAGGCAGTTCATCACTCCAGAATATTCTGTGATGCACTAGGGCAGCCTGCACATGGCAAGGAGGATGACATCAAGCCAGGAGCATTTGTTCTGGGAGAGGATAAAGAGGCAGGACAAAAGCAGATATCTGAGATTTAGCCCATTTGAGCAAGGCTCTTAAGGGATCACTGAAAAAGTTATTTCTGAAGTGGAAGATGATGGGGAGTGATCAGATAATTTAAGAGCCAGGAATAATGGGTGGTAGATGGAGGTAGACTTTGAAGCTGTAATTGACACAGAGAAGTACAGCATATTTTAAACATGCCAGGAAAAGCAGTTACAGTGTTCAAGTGCAATAGGAGGAGGCACAATGGACAGGTTTTATCTAAAAGAACAGAGAATTACTGTTCCATTATGTCAATTTTGTGGTAAGCATAACGCTAGACTTCCTGCAGCACTTTCATCTGACTCCAAGTGCACGTCTAATACAAGAGCCAGAGAATAACAAGAGCCTCTCAGAAAGATATTCAGTTCTTTCCTAAGCCCTGCTCAGTTGTGTTCATGTTCATTTTAGACTGATATATATTCTGCTTCTTTTTTTTCCAAGTTAATTTTGAATTTGGCAAGATTGAATACTGGCATTCTTTCTTCTCAAAGAGGGAGAGAAATTAATTTACCTGATGGAAGTAAATATAACAGAGGCTTTTATGCAGCAAAGAACTCCAAAGTAAATGGCACCTGAAGAGAAGCTGGATTAAAATACCAATGCAGAATTCTCTGATGTCTGAATCCAGCACTAATTGTTTTTCATGGCTGGTTTTCAAGGGTATTTTCATAACTAACAACAAATAAAGCAGTAGAATGAAGAATTTCATCCATGGGAAGAGATTCCTGTTGGACATTGTTCACAGGTCGGGTGTGAAGAGAACTTTAGATACAGAAATATTTCTAATCTTGCGAGTGTTTATGGGAGGAGGGGACTGATGACACTGGCTCTTTGTCAGCTTAATTGCACATATTTTACTCTGACCTTTGGCCATGTTTCAGCAATGACAAAAACGTATAAAGCAATAGTTAATATTCCAACAAAACAGGTGAGTAATATAGTGCAAAATCAAATCTGTAAGCAAAATTTTATAAAGCTTCTCAAATTGCTTGCAATCTTATCTTTGTTATATTTTACTCCCTACCTTCCACTGAGGCATAATATGACTGTGTCAAACACAAAACATGTTACAGGCTTGACAAGTCAATAATCCTGAGCCTCAAATAGGTACTCTTCACAGAGAGAGCCTGTGAACCATCAAAGAACCAAAGGAAAATCACTGCCTTTCCGCAGGGTTTGCCAAAGCAGAGGAAGTGTTATATAGGTCATATCTGTAGCCCACAAAATTCCATGGTTTTCTTTTCCCTAGGGAGCACTATGATGCTTAGGATGCACAAAGAGCTCACACTACATAATTATCCAACATGATGCCTCAGGCAAATGACTTCTATCACACATCTCAGTGTGTTTTTAAGTTCAGGACTTGGGGGTTTCACAAGCAGTGTTCCTGCACTTGTGATGCCACCATCTGGAGGTCAGCAGACTGGTAGCACACCCATGAATACCAAAATAAAATGAGGTTAACAGTGATCCTGCCCAAATTGTTTAAGACTGAACTATTTTTGATGCATGTTTCCAGATCTCTCTTGCTAACAAGGAATTGGAATGCACTGTTTGACAAGTAACTAGAATTTCTGAACCAATGCCAAAGCATATGACTGTAAGCTGTGGAGTACACAGCACGTTTCAGGTAATCACAAATGTATTTTTTTTGAGCTGTAATAAAGCTGGCAAGTAGAAAACAGTTAAATGGGCCCAATTGGATACCATGAGGAGATTTCAAATCTTTCAGGTTTTCTTCCTATAAAGCCATTGGGCATTTCCTCAGGCATTTACTGGTGTAAGAAACAATCTCAGAAAAGGTGGTATGCACTAATTATAAAATCCCAAGACAAGGACAAAAATAAGCACAGCCTATGAAAAACTGGAATGAGCAAACTGAAAACGATGGAAACACTTCTGTCCAAGCACTACTGAATAAGGAAAAAAGGAGAGGATTGAACAGAGATAAACTACCCCTTATCTCATCCTCTTCTTTGAAGTTTATTGCATTAACTTCCAGTCATTCATGTAGTTATCTCCTTCTTCAAGATCTGCCTCTTCCATTATCATGACTCTCTTTTACATGAAGGGATACAGACTGACCAAGGCTGTCTCAAATGAAGAGCTGCATTCAGTTTTGCTCACAGGAATTGTTTTCCAATGATGTTGGAACTACTCTAACTCAAAGATTCTACTGTTTAAAAGAATTTTACCTTCTTGATGAGGAGAGGAAGGATGAAGAGACACCTTGAACCATCATTGCATACAATGACTTCTCATTGTTTACCACTATCTTCACAAAGGAAAATAGCTAAGACTCAATTATTCAGTTATTACAGAATTTAAATAGGCTTTAATAATTCTGGTCACAGTTGTCATTGTCACATTAGGACCTGTCAGTGATCCATTCTGCTCAACACAACAAAAAGCCCCACATAACAAAAAAACCCCAAGTAGGTGTAGTTCTTCATGAAATTTTCAAATATTTACTTGGAAAAAAAAAGTGTAAGACTGCAGAAGCTGCCAGTCTAATAGGAGAGGATCTTCATTCCTCCCCAGAGCCTTACAACTTACCCTCCTCCAAAGCTTCAATGAGTGTATCTCACAGACATCCATGCTAGCAACCACACTATTTCACCTGTGAATCATGTCAGATTGACAAGCCTGGAAGTGCCCAGTCATTCCATTTATTTGTCAAATACTTTTCTGCCAAATTGGTTTATGCTCAGGTTTTCAAGTAATCTGGCCACATCTTGAAGAGTTATCGAGACTGATTTAAGTTTAGCTTTAATATTAGCATTAGAAAGAAAGGCATCTGAGTTTATCTGTCTTTTCTTCAGGCATCATTTGTTTCTGAGTTTATCTGTCTTTTCTTCAGGCTGAATAAGTGTTTGGCTGGGCACTTCTACACCTGTTGCAGACAAACATCACTTATTATTCCTTCCACAATTCAATGGAAAGTG